TCCGTAAGATAAATCCTTCAAATTACGTTGTTCGGTAGACTGACGACTTTAAATTGTGAAAAGGCTAGTGAATCTTTCACAATTCGCTTACGTTTCATCATTGTTGTATATGACTTCTTCATTATTTTTGTCCCAACTTAACGGTGAATACACTTTTGATTGAAACGTAGATATAGTTGCTTGCATAAGTCATTACAGTACAATACAATACCATACAATAGAAGGGCTCAGCAAAATGGTTCCGGATACGCAGTACACGAGTACCAGGGGCAGATGAACGGGCAGGGAAAAGGTGAACTGGAATCTATTGTGAGTATTATTCAGTGATTGCAACTCATGCAGATCCAAATATCAATGCAGCCGAACAAAGCTCGGGTAGCAATACTCGGACTGCAAGGATGTCGATGTCACTGAGAGTGATGATTTTCTACGACAGTGAATGTGGTTTAAAGCAGCAACAGAGTGTTGATCGCTTTCGAGCCGCAATTGGTGATGACGCCTTGAAGAAACAGTGTTTGCGTAGTTCGTGGAATTCAAGCGTGGCAGGCGGTCCCTGAATAAGGAAACACGGAGTGGTCGACCTATGGAGGCCACCACAGGGGACAAAATCGTTGCTGTGCAAGCGATGGTTGAGCAGGATGCTCCGGTGACAGTGTCACGGCTGGCAAAAGCCATCGGGATCTCATCGGCATCGATCGACATCATCCCGTGTGAGAAGCTTGGCCTCAGAAAGGCTGTCACATGCCGGGTACCCCTAGTGTAATCTGAATAGTAGTATAGTATAGTATTGAATAACGGAATACGAGGACCCGTACTGTGATACTCAGAACTGGATTGGCTCCAAACCAAACTGCGGACACCAATGTAGTACACAGAGAATCGGTAGCAGCAAGTGCCAATGCTTATGCATAGAAATAGAGCACGTTATATACAAAGCAACAGGCCATATCATTGGTTGAAGGACTATCGTTCAATCACGTAACCGTTTGCGCAGACGCATTGCATGTACGAACTCTGATACTATGTCCGCCCGATGTACCATTGGTCCAGCTTCTTGGACGTTGATTGGACGACATAAAGCTGTACCTGATCGCACTTGGAATGCGGTCACGTATGTCTGGATCCCCACAACCCCATCAGTTCAGTGATGAAGTCAAAGTCAAAGTTTTATCATGGGAGATACTTAAAAGCCTTTGCTTTTCTAATCCCATGGGGTTTAGAACGGATGAATCGGTTCACAGTTCATACAAATTAGATGAATGTCACAACTTGTCCTTGTTTCGTGCACTTCTAAGGATGTTGAAATTTGAGACTTTTCAGAGCTTCATCCAGTTTGGGCTTGAATGAGTCAATTGTGGGCGCAGAAACAAATTGTGGTGGTAGAGAATTCCAAGTAATGCACATTCTGAGGGCGAATGAATGACGTCGGCATTCTAGTCGGGAATTTTGGAGCACTAATTTGAATGAGTGCCCACTCAGGTGAGTGCTGGGAGACAACGCAAAGAATGAACGACTTGGTTGTTATGGATCCTGCATTATTTGACACACCAAGATCAAGTCCCCTCGAATGCGGCGATACTGTGTGGAGTTGCAGTGCTTCTAGTCTTTCCACGTAACTCTTGGAATGCAGTCCCTTGACCATTTTGGTGGCCATTCTTTGTGGACGTTCCAGAATCTTTTGATCGCGTTGCAGCCATGGATTCCATATATGAATGGCGTACTCTATGCGGGGTCGAATGTAGGCTGATAACAATCGTGGGAACAGCGTAGGTTCAAACTTGCCAAAAACTCGTTTTGGTAAATCAACATGTCTTACAGTGGTAGACGACGCCCAGGAGCAGTTTAAAGAACCGCCTAGGTCGTCTTGAACAATGACACCAAGATCCTTCTCATTCGAGATATACGGAAGTTGATCTCCAAAGAAATACGGAAACCGAGTTTTGTGTCGACGGGATACGCCCGTAGATTTTGATGCATTAAATTCCATGTCGTTTTCGATCGACCATTGATAGGCAGCATTAAGTGTTCTTTGAAGTTCTAGCGAGTTCTCTGGTTTTGTCCCTCTTTTCCATACTTTTGTATCGTCAGCGAAAATAATGTTTGTGAACCCAGAATGTCTGTTAGGTCATTCGTTGAGGGCCCAGCACGGATCCCTGTGAAACTCCTCGTGCTATGCTGATGGGATCGGAAAGTGTCCCAGAGACCCGAACTGCTATGGTACGTTGTCGAAGAAATTCTTCCATCCAGTCCAGTATAAGTCCCCGAATTCCGTAGTTATGTAGTTTCCTCAGCAGTATTTTGTGGTTCACTCGGTCGAATGCTTTGGAGAAGCCGAGGTACATAACGTCCACTGTATCACCATGATCAGCTGCTTTTGTCCACTCTTCTCGGGCCAGAAGCGGGTTAGTGGTACACGATCGCATGCGATGAAACCCATGTTGAGCAGGGGATAACACGTTGTATTTTTCCAAGTGACTCGTCACATTGTCTGCGACAATGGATTCCATGACGTTAGATAATACGGGGAGAAGAGTAACGGGGCGGTAGTTAGCAGGGTTGCTAAGACAGCCGCTCTTGTATATCGAAGAAATTATCCCTTGTTTCCATGTTTGTGGGAGCACAGTTCTGTTGAACACATTTTTCGGAATAGTTCGCTTAGTGGTTGAGCTAAGTTACTCACCAGGTTGACAGGGGTTTGTGGATGGACATTATCTACCCCTAGAGACGAGTTCCTTTTCAAACACTGCAATTTCGATGGGAAAATCAATTGTGACGAGCGTTGGATATGATATATCCTCATATAACAGAGTCAGTCGTAGTCCGGTGTTCTCAGCTGCGGTGAACACTTGAGCGTACTGACTTTTTAGCATTTCAGCCGCCTCCTATGTTGTGACTGAAATACGTTCTGCCACTCTTGGCATTTATGTGTTTCTACAACAGCTTGGGATTTGATATGAACTTGCGCAACATTATTTGTTGGTGTAATAACTTGTCCTCGCGCGCCAACTTGGAGCAGTGGTTTCGGAGTTGACAGTAGGTATACCACGTGTTGTTGCAAGGAGTCCGTTTATAAGTTCTCCATGATATATTCCTCTGCGAAATCCACTTTTTGTCCGACTTTGAATCGCTGTACTTTGACCAGTTGAGTAGGTGATGCGTTTGGTTTTCGTCGCACCTCCGTCAGGTGGTTTGTAAGTTCTTTGCAGGATACCAGGGGATCATACTGTTCGTTGAAAAATTTCCATTGGAAATCTCTCGCCAAAATTTTAAGTTTGGTGTAGTCAACCAACATACAGGAGCTAACCGTAGGATTGTGCGGTAAGGATGCATAGCAAATGTAGTCAAACGTAAACACAGCATGGTGAAAATGGTTTCCACCATTACTGTTACGTTTGAATTTTAAACACTGCAGTCTCGGACCCGTTGCCCGCTAGCAAAGTAGAACAACCGTACACAGAGTAGGATAGATTTATTATAATCGTTCACAATCAAGCCTATGTTCAACAAGGCAGCCATAGAACTAACAGCCAATCAGGATCGGGCCCATGTCGGTCGGCGGTATCGGAATAGGCAAGCGCGTGAGGTTGATCGATCTGAGTAGATATCAATCGATAAGGTCTGTGGAACGAGCAAATTATCGACCAGCAAAACGTACGCACTTAAGCCGCAGGCAAATATGCAACAATCAGTTCTTCGTTAGCTAACACCAAGTCCAAAACCGACGTTGACTGGTTGGCTCCAAAACTCGTGGGCTCTTTCAAAAAATTTTTAAGTGGATAGTATTCCATAAGTTGTGCGAATTTCCTCTCAAACGGTTGGAGACAGGTCGCTGAGTTAGCTAGATTAGGGCAATTTAAGTCACCCATAATGAGAATATGTATGAACTTCAGTGACAGAATGTGATACATAGTTTGCAATAGTGTCTCATTGGCTGAGTCTGTGGATGAAGGAGAGCGAAACACCACGCAGATTAAGCCGATATCGCGCTGCGACAGTCGCACTTTGCAACACAGTGAGTCCGGAGTCGCAGCAGAATAATCAATAACTTCGCATTATAGTTTGCTTTTAAAGTAGAGTAACACCCCACGACCCCTTGTAGGTCGATCTCGTCTGAGCAGGGTCATGCCGGGTAAGCTTAATTCTGAGTCCAGAATGTCGATTGTCAGACAGGTTTCGGTGACGGCAATAATTTCCCATTGACCAGTTTAGCAACGCAGCTCTAACTCTGAAAATTTGCTAAGGAAACCTTGGAAGTTAGTGTAGAAACAGTGCAGTTGGTGGTGGAGCAGAAACTCGTCGGGGTGTGGAGGGTTAGTTGAGCGGACCGTATCGTGGTCGGCTAAGGGAAGTTTTTCGGGAGAAGAGTTTTTTTGGGTCTGGTCTGCCAATTGCGGGAAGGGACACGAAGTCTGTGGGAACCCGGCGGGTATGGAGGTGATATTTTCTGACTGAGAAACACATTTTGTTCCTGGGTTGTTCATCGGTCTCAATCGCAGTTCTGATGGTCCCGTGATCTTGTTGTCGTACCACGACTGTAAGACAGTCGTAGCCATTTTTGGTGCGCCTAGAGTTATTTTCGGAATTCTGGGACCGTCTCCGCGGTAGTGAGGAGAACAGGGAAGACGGCTAACTGCTGTGGTCGAGATCTGGCGACATCCGATGAGATCTTAAATGAACCGCCACTCTTTACAGTCATTTTCCTGGCATTTTGATGTGTCTGTATCACTTAATTGTGGGACTCCGTGTATAAGAATCACTCAAGCATTGTCTGTTTCCCGTAGGCTGTCCGGGTTATTTCGTTGGTGTGCTCGCTCGCTCCATGATCTGTCTGGTAGAATCCTTACTTTACTTGAACTTCCTCGAAGGAGAAAGCTGGACAGAAGTGCGTTTTCTACTTCTGATTCACTACATTGTGTCACCCGAAGTAACCTGGGTTCTTCGGCGTGAAGTGAAGTGAATTGGGCTGTCGCCGAAGGCGTGTGAGACCCATAGGTTGGGCCATGATCCACATTTGTTTACACAGAGCACTGCAGCACCTCAGCTCTTCGTCTTGCTTCTCTCTTAGTGACAATGCCGTGGGCTCGGAAACGTTTGAACAGAATGTAGCTCAGGTGAATGGGTACAGCATCATGCTTGCCAGATGTGATGGCGGACGTTCCAATGCAGTTTGGGAGATCATCCGTAGTGATGAGACCTGGTTGTACAGTTTCGACCGAGAGAAGAAACAAAAATTGGCTCAGTGGACGCCGGTTGGTGAGGCGCCGATTCAGAAATTCCGAAGCGAGCACAGTAAGGCAAAGCAGATGATGGCTGTGTGCATGACCAAAGTCGTTCATGTGGCTGCTGTAGCGCTTGTACAGCAAAGCACAGTCACCGGAGCCTAGTACGCCACCCATTGTTTGCCGAAAGTACTGGAGACTGTTGCCAAGTTTCGTCCAAGTACTTGAGCACGAGGGACATTGCTGCACACAGGTCCTGTGTTGTCGGTGATTTTCTGGCTAAAGAACACATCCAGGAGGTCGATAATTCACTCTCCAATCCAGACCTGGCACCGTGTGACTTTTTTGTACTCCTAAATGTCAAGCGCATGCTGCGTGGAACCCAATACGAGTCACCAACAGCTGCATTTTAGGCTCTGATTGAACTGTACGAAGGGTTACCCGCTTAGGCATGTGTTATGGCTTACAACTGATTGATTTGTGTTCATAAATGCCTGTGGTCAAATTGATTG